TCCCGGAAGGGCAAAGGTGGAGCGCAGGGAAGTGAGTATGCCGGAATGAGTACGCGATAAACAGGGTGAGAATCCCTGTCACCGAAAGCCTAAGGGTTCCGGAGCCAGGTTCATCCGCTCCGGGTTAGTCGGTCCCTAAGCCGAGGCCGAAGGGCGTAGGCGATGGGAAACAGGTTAATATTCCTGTACCGCAGTAAAGCGTTTGACCTCAGGGGGGACGCGGAAGTGAAAGGACCGTCGGGTGGTGGAATTCCGATGTAAGGTGGTAGGCGTTTCCGGGGAATAAAAGACCTGGATAGCCGAGCGCCGATGCCGAAGGGGACCTCGGTCCCCGCAAAGGGTCCGTAATCATACCGCCAGGAAAAGCCTCGTGAGGGAGCTCTGCGTGCGACCGTACCGTAAACGGACACACGTAGGCGAGGCGAGAAGCCTAAGGTGCGCGAGTGATCCGCGGAGAAGGAACTCGGCAAAATGTCCCCGTAACTTCGGGAGAAGGGGAGCCCGTGGTAGGTGAACCATGTTTGCGTGCGGAGCCGAAGCGGGCCGCAGAGAATCGGCCCAAGCGACTGTTTAGTAAAAACACAGGTGTCTGCAAAGTCGTATAGACGACGTATAGGCACTGACGCCTGCCCGGTGCCGGAAGGTTAAAGGGATGGGGTCAGGGTCCTTCGGGACTCGAAGCTCCTAACTGAAGCCCCGGTAAACGGCGGCCGTAACTATAACGGTCCTAAGGTAGCGAAATTCCTTGTCGGGTAAGTTCCGACCTGCACGAATGGGTAACGACTTGGGCGCTGTCTCCTCCGCGAGCTCGGCGAAATTGGAGTATCGGTGAGGATACCGATTACCCGCGACAGGACAAAAAGACCCCGTGCACCTTTACTGCAACCTGTCATTGGGTCTTGGCTTTGCATGTGTAGGATAGGTGGGAGACTGTGAACTGTTCTCGCTAGGGGACAGGGAGTCACTGGTGAAATACCACCCTTACAATGTTGAGGCTCTAACCCAGGGGAGTGAATCCTCCTCGGGAACAGTGGCAGGTGGGTAGTTTGACTGGGGCGGTCGCCTCCCAAAAAGTAACGGAGGCGCGCAAAGGTTCCCTCAGCGCGGTCGGCAATCGCGCGAAGAGTGCAAAGGCATAAGGGAGCTTGACTGTGAGACCGACGGGTCGAGCAGGAACGAAAGTTGGCCTTAGTGATCCGGCGGTTCCGAATGGAAGGGCCGTCGCTCAACGGATAAAAGGTACGCCGGGGATAACAGGCTTATCGCCCCCGAGAGTTCACATCGACGGGGCGGTTTGGCACCTCGATGTCGGCTTATCGCATCCTGGGGCCGGAGAAGGTCCCAAGGGTCGGGCTGTTCGCCCGTTAAAGCGGTACATGAGCTGGGTTTAGAACGTCGTGAGACAGTTCGGTCTGTATCCGTCGTGGGCGTTGGAGTATTGAGGGGAGCTGCTCCTAGTACGAGAGGACCGGAGTGGACTGACCACTCGTGTACCGGCTGTTCCGCCAGGGGCATCGCCGGGTAGCGACGTCGGGAAGGGATAACCGCTGAAAGCATCTAAGTGGGAAGCCCACCTCAAGATGAACACTCCCAGGGCGTAAGCCCTCTGAAGGGCCGTGCGAGACTAGCACGTTGATAGGCGGCAGGTGGAAGCATGGCGACATGTGCAGCCGAGCCGTACTAAGTGCCCGAGAGGCTTGACCAGCATTTCCTTGCATCAAATTGAGGGCCCCCGGCAAGGGGGTTCGACAGACCGAGGCGCCACCCCGTGTGGTGTCTCGGAAAACGCGACTCATCAAAACCCGAGGTCTCCCGCCAACGCGGGGGGCACGCCCCGGACACGCCCGGGACCCCTCTCACAGCCCATGCTCTTTTGTTGCTGGTGACAAGAGCGCGGGGGAAACACCCGTTCCCATCTCGAACACGGCCGTTAAGCCCCGCTGCGCGGATGGTACTGCCGGGGCGACCCGGTGGGAGAGTACGTCGTTGCCAGCTTCTCTTTCGGCCCCCCGGAGTCAATCTCCGGGGGGTTCTTTTTCACTCGTCGATACCTCTCCGTCCATGAACGAGACCCGGGCCGGCACAGTGGCTCTCGCCGGACTTCCCAACGTCGGCAAATCGACGCTCCTTAACGCCTTCGTGGGCGAGAAGCTGAGCATCGTCACCCCAAAGCCTCAGACTACGTGGCAGCGGGTAGCCGGAATCTACTCCGGCGAAGCGCACCAGATTGTCTTTGTCGACACTCCGGGGCTGTTTGCCGCGCGCGACCTGTTCCACCGCGGCATGGTGGAGGTAGCCCATGGGGCTGTCCATGACGCCGACGTTGTCCTGGTTGTGGTGGACGCGACTTCGATGCGACGGCGCACACCTTGGGGTGCCCCTGCGCGAGTTGCTGGAGCAGACTCGAGCTCCACGGCTAGTGGCGGTCAACAAGGTTGACGGGGTGCCGGAGCCGGCGATCGAGGGATTGGTCGCGGACGCGGAGCGACAGCTGGGCGCGCGCGCTTTTCCCGTGTCGGCGCTTCATGGCACCCGCGTGAGGCAGTTGCGAGAGGCGCTGGAAGCGGAGTTGCCCCTGTCACCCTTCCTGTTCCCGCCGGACCAGATCGCCTCGAATTCGGTACGATTCTTTACGGCTGAACTGATTCGCGAGACCGTTTTCGAGTTGTACGACCGGGAGATACCCTACTCCGTGTCGTGTCAGCTGGAGCAGTTCCGCGAAAACAAGGACCCGGTCTATATTCAAGCCGTTCTCTACGTGGAGAGGAAGTCGCAAAAGGGAATCCTGATCGGAGACGGCGGGCAGGCGATCCGTGAGCTTGGCTCCCGGGCCCGGATCAAGATAGAGCGTTTCATCGGCCGGCGGGTTTACCTGGACCTCTGGGTCAAGGTGCTCGCCGGGTGGCGGCGCAAGCGTGGACACCTTCGGAGATTGGGATTTGCCCTTCCCCGCGAGCATGAGACGAAACGCGCCCGGTAGCCCGCGCGCCGTCTGGCTGTTGCTCGCGGGTCTGTGGCCTTCGCCCGGAGACGCACAGGGACCGGAACTCGCCGCGACCATGGAGTCGGCGGCCATTGCCACGCAGAGGGCAGCGACCAACGAAGGCGCGCTCTTCCTGATTCTGCCCGTGGGTGCTCAGGCGATCGCGATGGGACGCGCGATGACGGCCTTGCCCTTCCAGGAAAGCGCGTTCTGGAATCCGGCGGGGCTCGCCACGGTCGAAGATCGCCGCTTCTTCTTCTATCGGGGCGACCAGCTCGCGGGCACGGCAACCGCGTTCTCCTTCCTCGTGGGCAGACCGTCGGTTGGCACGCTGGGAGTCTCCTATCAGGAACTGAACGTGGGCGACCAGCAGCTGACCGGCTTCACCGGCGAAGTGCTCGGTTCCATCAGCGTGCGCGGCTACCAGGGGGTGATTTCGTTCGCGACCGAGCTGGCCGACCGGGTCAGCGTGGGCACGAACTTCAAGATGGTGCAGTTCCGCATTGCATGCCGTGGGCAGTGCCTCGACCAGGGGGTGACCGCGACCACCTACGCGGTGGACGCCGGGATTCAGGCGACGTTTTCGGATGCGGTGCCCCTCAGGCTCGGGGTGATGATCGCGCACCTGGGGCCGGATCTGCAGGTCGTCAACGCCGAACAGGCGGATCCCCTTCCGGCACGGGCGCGCCTGGCGGTGATGTACGACATCCTGGATCATTTCGAGAACCGTTCGACCCTGGATCTGCGGCTGACGGTGGAGATGGAGGAGCGATGGCGCGATCTGGGGTCGCCGTCCGTGTACGTGGGAACTGAAGTCGCCACCACCGGGACCGAAGTGCTTTCGGTGCGCGCCGGCTATGCTTATGGGAGCGACGGGGAGGCCGGGGGTCCGGCCCTCGGGTTGGGCCTGCGCTTCAACCGATTCGATCTCGCGATCGCGTGGTCGCTCACGCGCACGTCGCTGAGCACGGGTTCCGAGCCCGTGCACGTCAGCCTGGGCGTTGTCTTCTGATGGACGCCGGTTCGAACCCGGCAACGCGCGCACAGGCTGCGCATCGCTCATGGGTGACCCCGACGGGCCGCCCGCGACCGATCCGTCGCGCCCGCCCGGTGTGCGGCGTTCGCCCGGCCTGGGCCACGGCCGTGCTCCTGGTGACGGGCGCCGGGGGTTTGTCGGGCCAGAGCCCGCTCGCGATACCGAAGGCGCCCTCACCACTCTGGGAAGCAGCGTTGGCAGAGAGCCCGCCCGATTTGATCCCCGCCGCCGGAAGCGGCGCGGTTTCCCCGGCTTTCCCCTTTGTCTCCATTGGATCCCGCGGGCCTGTCACGGGGGGCTCTACCCTCTCGGCCGGAGCGGTCGCCCAGCTACTCGCTCCGTCGATCTCGCCGACCCGGGCGCTGCTCTACTCTGCAGTGTTGCCGGGATGGGGCCAGCAACGTCTGGAGCGAAGTCGCTGGTTCGGGTTCATGGCGGTTGAAGTCATCGGCTGGGGCTTCCTGTGGGAAAGACAGCGGACGGGGCATGACTTCCGTGCCCGATACCGCGATCTGGCGTGGTTTGTCGCGCGCCGGGGAGCGGCCGTGGAACGCATGGACGGCGACTTCGAGTACTACGAGGCGCTCGGGAAGTACGGGGCGTCGGGGGCCTTCGACGTCGATCCCTATATGGGAGGCGTTCAACCCGAAACCGATACCACGACCTATAACGGCGACATCTGGTCGCTGGCCAACGAGATCTTTCTGGTGCCCAGGGCCGAGGGCGTTCCCGGACCTGGCTCGCCGGAGTACGAACAGGCCATGGCGTACTACACCAGCCGGAGCATCAGCCCGGACTTCTACTGGGACTGGAACGATGACGACGTCAATCGCGCGGAGTACGACAGGTTGATTCGGAGAAGCGATGCCGCGTTGCGCCAGGTGACCACGGTCGTAGGAGTGATCCTCGCGAATCACCTGGTGGCCGCGTTTGACGCATTCATCACGGCTCGCCTGCGCGCCGCGGACTCGAACGCCGTGGTCCGCTTGTTCGCCGCTCCCGAGGCGCGCGGACGGTGGTGGCTGGGCGGGCAGCTGCTCCCATGATTCCCGGTGGCGTCCGCGTCGGCCAGATGCATCATGGCGTGTTATCCGCCCGGTTCCTAGTGTACCGGGAGGTGTTTTGGCCGCAGCCCGAAGGAGGTCGCCCTTGACGTCTTACACCGTCTTCACAGTCCATTGCCCGTCCTGTTCCGCGAGCTATCCGGTCGATTCAGGGAAAGTGCCGGAGGGCGGCATCCGCGCGCGTTGCGGCAACTGCGCCAACGTCTTTCTCGTAGAGCTTGCCAGGCTGCGGGTCCAGGGGGCACCGGAATCTTCGGGGCGACCGCGGAAACGGCGCCAATCGAAGCCACCCGCGCCATTCGCCACGATCGATCCCGGGGACCGGGCCGCCCGCCTGGCCCGGGTACTGGTGTCCGACATGATCAGCTACCATCCGGACAGGTACGAGCGCGCCCTGGAAAGAGGTACCTTGCAAGAGGACTTCGCGGACGAAGTGCGCCGGTCCTGGGCGGAATACGTGAGACAGGTTGGGCAGGCGGCGGCGGTCGGCAGCCGCTGCTTTCAGGACGAACTCAACGCCACTCTGGCTCGCGGACAGAAGATCTACTGACAGGCAGACCAACGAGCGAAACCCATGTCTAACGAAACCACTGAACACCTCCGCGATCTCGAAGCGCGAATCTCCGAACTGCGGAGGTACCTTTGACATCCAGGCGCGCGAGGCGAAGCTGGAAGAGCTGGAACAAGCCCAGTCCAGCGAGACGTTCTGGTCCAACCCGGAAGAGGCGCGCCAGCTCATCGCGGACGCCAACCGGCTAAAGGGTTGGGTGGCCCCCTGGCGCGAACTCGCCGCCACCGCCGGGGAACTGCGCGAATGGGCCGATGTGCTGGCTGTCGAGCAGGATGAGGAGATCGAGGCGCAGTGGGCGTCCGACGTCAAGTCGCTCGCCGCGGGCGTGGGCAACCTGGAACTCCGAACCATGTTGCAGGGAGAGGATGACCACCGCGGGGCGCTGCTCACCGTTCACCCCGGTGCCGGTGGCCTGGAGTCCCAGGACTGGGCGGAGATGCTGCTGCGCATGTACAGCCGCTGGGCCGAGCGGCGCGGATGTACGCTCAAGGTGCTCGATCTGCAGCCGGGCGAGGAGGCCGGGATCAAGAGCGCCGCGCTCGAGATCGAGGGGTGATCACGCGTACGGGTACTGAAGGCGGAGAATGGTGTACACCGCCTGGTACGCATTTCACCCTTCGATTCCCAGTCGCGCCGCCACACTTCCTTTGCCAGCGTGTTCGTGTATCCCATGATCGACGATGAAGTCGAGGTCGAGATCGATGAGGGCGACCTGCGCGTGGACACTTTTCGCGCCTCCGGGGCCGGGGGCCAGCATGTCAACAAGACGGATTCCGCCATTCGCATCACGCACCTGCCCACGGGCATCGTGGTGTCCTGCCAGCAGGAGCGCTCGCAGCACAAGAACCGTGCGACCGCGATGAAGATGTTGCGGGCCGCGCTCCACCGGCGGGCGATGGAGGCGCGCGACCGCGAACGTGAGGCGGTGGAGGCCACCAAGCCCGAGAACGCGTGGGCCAATCAGATCCGCTCGTACGTCTTCCAGCCTTACACGATGGTCAACGATCACCGAACCAGCGTAAAGGTTGGGGATGTCCAGAAGGTGATGGACGGCCAGATCGACCTCTTCATCGAAGCCTACCTGAAACAGTTCGGGGCGGTCGGCGTCGGCTGAACCGGTCGTCCTCTCCCAGATCTGCTATGACGCAACCTACCAGTGGCAAGGCCGACCGCCCGGCGCCTTCCGGCCCAAGCGACCCGGAACGCAGCGTGCAGACCCGCATGGAGAAGCTCGGCCAGCTGCGCGAACGAGGAATCGAGCCGTTCGCCTACAACTACGCGCGGACCGACCGCGCGCGCGCGGTCGCGTCCGCCTTCGAAGCCGCGGAGGCGGCGGGAGCGCTCTCGGAGCGGGGGCAGGGGGAGGAAGTGCGCATCGGCGGTCGCATGGTCGCGTTCCGCGGTCACGGCAAGAGCGCCTTTGCCGATCTGGAAGACGGCTCCGGGCGCATCCAGGTGTATTTCCGCAGGAACCTGGTGGGAGCGCAGGCTTTCGAGAACCTGGATCTCCTCGACCTGGGAGACTGGATCGGCGCACAGGGCCGGCTCTTCCGCACGCGCATGGGCCAGATCACGGTACAGGTCAGCGCCTGGACGCTGCTTACGAAGTCGCTGCGGCCGCTTCCACTGGGCAAGACAGAAGTGGACAGCGGGACCGGGGAACGCACCACGCACAGCGGCTTCGCCGACACCGCGGCGCGCTATCGCCAGCGCTACGCCGATCTGGCGGTCAACCCGGAGGTGCGGCAGGTCTTTCGCGCCCGCTCGCGGATCGTGACCACGGCACGCCGTTTCCTGGACGCCCACGGCTTTCTCGAGGTCGAGACGCCGGTGCTGCAACCTCTCTACGGGGGCGCGACGGCTCGTCCCTTCGTCACTCGTCACCACTCTCTCGACACACGGCTCTTCCTGCGCATCGCCGACGAACTCTATCTGAAGCGGCTCATCGTGGGCGGCTTCGAGCGCGTGTACGAATTGTCCAAGGACTTCCGCAACGAGGGTCTGAGCCGGTTTCACAACCCCGAGTTCACGATGCTCGAGTTCTACCAGGCGTTTGCCGACTACCACGACATGATGGCGCTGGTGGAGGAGCTCGTGACGGAGATCGCGACCGAGGTCACGGGGGATGCCATCGTGACCTACCAGGGTGAGCGCATTTCACTGGTCCCCCCGTTCAAGCGCATCCGGCTCATGGAGGCACTGGGCGCAGCCCTCGGCGAAGACCCTCTGGAGATGGACGACGAGGCGCTCTCGACGCGGGCGACGCTGATCACATCGCCTTTCTCTCTACCCTCGATTCTCTTACATGGGCGCGGGGCGGGGAAGGCTCATCGACAAGCTTTTTGACGCGCTGGTGCAGAAGGAATTGCGATCCCCTACCTTCGTGCTGGATCACCCGCGTGAGCTCTCGCCGCTCGCGAAGGCGAAGCGGGGTGATGCCCGCCTGGCGGAGCGTTTCGAGCTGTTCGTGCTGGGCACCGAAGTGGCCAACGCGTTCTCCGAACTCAACGACCCGGTTGACCAGCGGGCGCGCTTCGAGGACCAGGCGAGGCTTGCGGCCGGAGGCGACGAGGAGGCTCACAGAGTGGACGAAGACTACATCCGGGCCCTCGAGTACGGGATGCCGCCCACGGGCGGCGTCGGCATGGGCATCGACCGTCTGACGATGCTGCTTACCGATCAACGGCCATCCGCGATGTGATTCTCTTTCCCATCCTGAGGCCCGAGTGACGGGCGGAGGAGTGCGTTGAGCCGTCTCGACTGGTACATCGCGCGCCGCTACCTGTCGGCCCGCAAGCAGGGACGCTTCCTCTCCCTCATCACCTGGATCGCGCTCGGGGGCGTCACCCTCGGGGTCACCGCCCTGGTGGTCGTGATCTCGGTCATGAACGGCTTGCAGGAGGAGATGAGGGCCAAGATTCTCGGCTCCAACCCGCATGTGCTCGTGCTTCAGGCGGGCAGCTCGCTGCGCATGGACGACTGGGAAGGGATACGTGAGCAGGTCCGCGCGGTCGAGGGTGTCGTGGGGGCGACTCCCTTTGTGGTCACCAGTGTCGGCATCCAGCGCGAGGAGTATGCGCAGACGGCCGATCTGTATGGCGTGCAGCCCATCCCGGAAGGCGTGCCCGTCACCGATTTCGAGCGGGACCTGCAGGACGGCGTGTACTCTCTCGGGGAGTCCGAATCGGGTTTCCCCCCGGTCCTCGTGGGAAGTCGGCTCGCAGCAGCGCATGCAGCTCTTCAAGGGCGATACGCTGGTGCTGATGTCACTGGAGAACATCCATACAGATGGCTTCGGCAACCCCTATCCCAGCATCCGCAAATTCGAAATGGCGGGGTCGTTTACGACCGGCATGTACGAGTACGACCTGCGCAACATGTACACGCCTCTGGCGGCGACCCAGGACCTGCTCGGCATCGACCGAACGAACCAGGTCAGCGGCATCGCGGTCCGGGTCGAGGACCTCTGGGAAGCGAATGTGGTCGGCCGGGCGATTCGGGCGGCGCTCGGGCCAGGCTACCTTGCCGAGAGCTGGATAACCACCAACCAGTCGTTCTTCGCCGCTCTCAGGCTCGAGGAGTTCGGGATGGCGGTCATCCTTGGCCTGATCATCGTGGTGGCGGCCTTCAACATCGTGAGCACGCTGGTGATGGTGGTTGTGGACCGAACCCGGGAGATCGGCATCCTCAAGTCGATGGGCATGACCGACCGGCAGGTTCTGCGCGTGTTCCGGCTCCAGGGACTCTGGATCGGCATGATCGGAAGCGCGCTGGGAGTGACGGCGGGCCTGGCGATAGTCTGGGCGCTCGATCGGTACAACTTCATCTCAATTCCGGCCGACCTCTACTATCTGGACCATCTGCCGGTCGCGGTGCGCGTGCTGGACATCGCGCTCATCATTGTGTTCACCATCGGAATCAGCTTCCTGGCCTCACTCTATCCGGCAGCCCGCGCCGCCCGTCTGCGGCCGGTGGAGGCGATTCGGCATGAATGAGGATGGCCGCTCGGCGGAGACCGGGCTGGGCAACTCCGATCCAGGTGTGCGGCTAGTCGACCTTCCCCTTCAGTGGTCGACGCTACCACTGGAAGACCGCTCGTATGGCAGCGCCCTCTAGTCGGCGGCAATCGGAAGTGAACTCGACGCTTCTGCAAGGGTAGACCTTGTCGAGTTCAGCGGGAGAGGTGGGTCTCTGCGGTCAGAGGTGCAAGTCCGTGAGAAAGAAACATCTTGAGAAGAATGCATTCCCCCAGCTGATGAGGATGAAGCGTATACTAAATTGAAGAAAACGGAGTTCACATTAAGTTGCCGAAGAAGAGAGGTGGAGAAGAAAACGAGGGGATTCAGGGGGAGCGCGACCCGGGGGTTAGAACGCCGTACACCCTGGATCCGGGAGTTAGCCCGGTCTCCCCCTCCTCTTTCCCCCCTCCCCCACCTTTCGCTTCCTTCCCCCCCCTCCTTTTTCTCTCCCCCCGCCTCCTCCCTCTTCCCCTTTCTTCTCTTTTCCTTCGTCTCTTCGCTTCTTCTATCTCCCTTGCTTTTTTTTCCCCCCCCCCCCCTGTTTTTTTCTTTTTTTTCCCTCTTTTTCTCCTTCCCTTTTTCTTTTTTTCTTTTTTTTTCTTTTTCCCCTCCCCCTTTTCTGTTTCCTATTTTTCCCTTTTTATTTTTGAGCTGGAAAGGAAGACAAGAGGGAGACCTCTCTTCTTTCCCTTTCCTGGTACCTTGTTTTCGGTTACCGGTAATGGTGGACGGAAGGCCGTTGTCGCGGCTGGACGACGGGGCCATCTGCGAGATCCGAAACCATCACATCGGTTTCGTGTTTCAGTTCCACCATCTCCTGCGCGAATTCACTGCACTCGAGAACGTGATGATGCCACGATTGATCGCCGGCCACCCGCGATCCGAGGCGGAGGAGGGCGCGCGTCGCCTGCTCGAGTCGGTGGGGCTTGGCGCGCGGCTGCAACACAAGCCGTGGCAGCTCTCGGGCGGAGAGCAGCAACGCGTGGCCGTGGCCCGCGCGCTCGCCAACGACCCGGTCGTTCTCCTGGCTGACGAGCCCAGCGGCAACCTCGACCATCGGACCAGCGAACAACTCCACGACCTGCTGTTCCAACTGAGGGACGACCACGATCTGGCCATGGTGCTGGTAACCCACAATCGTGCGTTGGCAGCGCGAGCCGACCGCATCCTGCGGCTCGAGAGCGGGATACTGGTAGAGGGAAACGAGAGTCGGTGAGCGACGATCCCCGGGTGTGCGGCGAGTGCGGCACGGCGGAGGCCATCGTCCACCTGACCCGGATCGTGGACGACGTGGCCAGCGTGTTGCACCTCTGTGAGGAATGCGCCGCCGCGCGCGGAATCAGTCAGCCCGCGCCACCGGACAATTCTCCGCTCGCCGACTTCCTGTCGCAGATGACGGGTGCGGAGACGGGCGCCGCGGCCGGAGAGGAAGACAGAACCTGCTCCTTTTGTGGTCTCACGTTCGCGAGATTCCGAGACAGCGGGCGGCTGGGATGTCCGCACTGCTATACGACTTTCGAGTTTTACCTGAAGAGCCTCCTGAGGCGTATCCACGGCGGCGTGCAACACGTGGGCAAAGTGTATCTGCCCCCCGATCCCACGGCCTCCCAGCGTGAGAAGCGACTCGAAGGACTGCGCCGCAAGCTGCAGTACGCCATCAATACGGAGGACTTCGAGCGAGCGGCGCAGTTGAGGGACCAGATCAGTTCTCTCGAACCCGCGACGCGCTAGGCGGACCCGTGGATCATCTTTCCCCGATCTTCGATCACGGCCTCGGAGGCTCGACGCGAGCGGCCCGGATTCCGATATTGTCCTCTCCACGCGCGTTCGTCTGGCCCGCAACCTTCAGGGCTATGCGTTCGGTCCGCGGTCGCGCGTCAATGATCGCCGCGCGGTGCTCAGACGGGTCACCCGGACGGCGGCCAGGGTCGACCTGCTCGCCGAGGCGAACGTTCACCCTCTTGCCGACCTGGACCCGGGGACCCGGCGGATCCTCCTCGAGAGAAGGCTCATCTCACAGGATCTGCTCGGCGAGAGATCGGAGACCGGTCCCCAGCGTGCGGCGGCAGTCGTGCTTTCGACCCGGGAACCGGTCAGCGTGATGGTGAACGAGGAGGACCATCTTCGCCTGCAGGTGCTGGTGTCGGGACTCGCCCTGGAAGCGGCCTGGAGCCTGGTGGATCGGCTGGACGAGGACCTGGGCCAGGAACTCCCCTACGCATACGATCACGAGCTCGGATTCCTCACCAGTTGTCCCACGAACGTCGGCACGGGATTGAGAGCTTCTGTGCTCATCCACCTCCCGGGGCTTGTGCTCACGAAGGAAATCGGCCGCGTCCTCCGGGGGTTGAGCCAGGTCGGGCTGACGTTTCGCGGGCTGTACGGGGAGGGGTCGGAGGTCGTGGGAAATTTCTTTCAGGTCTCGAACCAGACCACGCTCGGAAAAACGGAGGAAGACCTGGTCGATCATCTGGACCGCATGGTGCGCCAAGTCATCGAATACGAGAGACGGGAGCGTCGCGTTCTGCTCCGGGACGCGTATCAGGTTACAGAAGATAAGATATGGCGTGCCTACGGTTTACTGCGTTACGCCAGGTCCATTTCGTTCGAGGAGATGATGAACCTGTTGTCGGGTGTTCGACTGGGCGCGGCGCTGAAACTTCTCCCGGGGCTCCGTGTATACTCGCTCAACAAGATCATGATCTTCGCGCAATCCGCCCACCTGGAGGAAGCAGCGGGGCGAAAACTTCCACCCGGTGAGTGCGACGTGCACCGAGCCACCTACGTGCGCCGCATCCTGGCGACCGAGGGTGTAGTGATCCCGGACAAGGAGCCTCCACAGAGCGGTTCCGACGCCGTCCCCGACCCATGACGACCCGCGGGCACGAAGACAAATGAACTACAATTTCACGGATCGGGTGCGCAAAGTTCTCGCGATGGCCAGAGACGAGGCCATCAGGCTGCAACACGACTACGTGGGCACCGAGCATGTCCTGCTGGGACTGATCCGTGAACGGGAAGGGGTCGCGGCCACGGTATTGATGAATCTGGGTGTGGATCTGAGCCAGGTTCACGAGCGAGTCGAGGAGGCGGTCCGCAAGGGAAAGGCCACCATCGCCCTGGGCGAGCTCCCCTACACCTCACGTGCAAAGAAGGTATTGGAGTTCGCCTTGGCTGAGGCACGCGAGCTCAACCACTCGTACGTAGGCACGGAACACTTGCTGCTGGGGCTTCTCAGGGAAGAGAAGGGCATCGCGGCGCAGGTGCTCAACTCCATAAGCGTGCGCCTGGACCGGGCGCGCGCGGAGTGTCTCAGGGTGCTGGGCTCCGAGATGAGTTCGGATGTGGGTGGGGGCTCCGCCGTTCCGGCCGGAGGCAAGAGCGAGAAGAAGTCCAAGACCCCGGCGCTGGACCATTTCTGCCGCGATCTCACCAGCCTCGCGAAGGGGGGCAAGCTCGACCCCACCATAGGCCGCCGTGTGGAGATCGAACGCATCGTCGAGATCCTCTGCCGCCGCAAGAAGAACAACCCGGTGCTGATCGGTGAACCAGGAGTAGGCAAGACGGCCATCGTCGAGGGGCTGGCGCAGCTCATTACCGAGGGCGAGATCACGGAGGCCTTGAAGGACCACCGGCTGCTGGCACTGGACATGGCGGCCGTCATCGCGGGAACCAAGTATCGCGGCCAGTTCGAGGAGCGCCTCAAGGCCGTCATGAACGAGATTTCGCAGGGCCGCAACGTGATCCTCTTCATCGACGAGCTGCATACGCTTGTGGGAGCGGGAGCGGCCGAGGGCGCCATCGACGCATCGAACATGTTCAAGCCGGCACTTGCCCGCGGAGAACTCCAGTGCATCGGTGCTTCCACGCTGAACGAGTATCGCAAGTACATCGAGAAGGACGGAGCGCTGGAAAGGCGTTTTCAGCCGGTCATTGTGGATCAGCCGACGGTCGCGGAGACGGTCGACATCCTCAAGGGTCTGCGCGGGCACTACGAGGACCACCACCGAATCGTCCTGTCCGACCCTTCGCTGGAGGCAGCGGCCAAGCTGTCCGACCGCTACATCACCGACCGCTTCCTGCCCGACAAGGCGATCGACGTGATCGATGAGGCCGGGTCTCGCGCGCGCATCGCGAGCCAGGTGCCGTCTCCCGAGGTCGAGGAGCTGAAGGAGGAACTCGCCGCGCTGGCCGGACATAAGGAGCTGGCGATCCGTAATCAGGACTTCGAGCGCGCGGCGGAGTTGCGCGACGAGGAGCGCGAGCTTCAACGCCGGATCCGCGAGCGCCAGAAAGCGTGGCGGGAAGCGCGCAGGGACCATCGCCCCGAAGTCAACGCCGACGACGTCGCCTTCATCGTCAGCCGCTGGACCGGCATCCCAGTGACACGGATGAGGCGGGCCGAAACCCGGCGCCTCATCAACATGGAAGACGAGTTGCACAAGCGGGTCATCGGCCAGGATCCGGCCATACAGGCGATGTCGCGGGCAATTCGCCGCAGCCGGGCCGGGCTGAAGGACCCGAGGCGACCTATAGGATCGTTCATCTTTTCCGGCCCGACCGGGGTTGGGAAGACCGAACTGGCGCGGGCTCTGGCCGAGTTCCTGTTCGCCGATCGTGAGGCCCTCATTCGCGTGGATATGAGCGAATACATGGAGCGGTTCTCGGTGTCGCGCCTCATCGGCGCGCCACCGGGCTACGTGGGCTATCATGAATCCGGCGCTCTTACCAAAGCGGTGCGGCGGCGTCCCTATTCGGTCGTCCTCCTCGATGAAATCGAGAAGGCGCACCCCGATGTCTTCAACATCCTGCTGCAGGTGCTCGACGAAGGGCACCTGACCGACAACTACGGTCGGGCCATCGATTTCAAGAACACGGTCATCATCATGACCTGCAACCTGGGGGCCAGGGAAATCTCGAAGGGCGGTACCCTGGGATTCCATGAGGACAACGCTCAATCGGGGTATGAACGCATGCGTGGCAAGGTGCAGGAGGCGATTGAGCGCACCTTCAATCCCGAGTTTCTCAATCGCGTGGACGATACCATCGTCTTCCACTCACTCAGCCGTGACGATATCGGCAAGATCGTCCACATCCTGCTCCTGGAAATACACGAACGCCTGAACGAGGAAGACCTGACCCTCACGCTCAGCGATGCTGCCGTGGACTTCCTCGCGGATAAGGGCTATAGCGAGAAGTTCGGGGCGCGACCGCTCCGGCGGGCGATCCAGCGCTATCTGGAAGACCCTCTTTCGGAGATGATCCTGGTAGCGGAGTTCGGGGCGGGGGACGAGATCCAGGCGGATGTCAACGAGGCGGGCGACGGTCTTTCCGTGGGGGCGGCGTCCGCGACCAAGACGTGAACGGACTCAACGGCGCAATCGTTTCCGCGCGCTTCGGACGGCGGGCGGCAGTTTTCGCCGCGGGCGCATGCCTCTCACCCGCGTTCCTGGCGGCGCAGCAGGCGGACCCCGCTGCGGGCACCTTCGTCGATTCCATCACCGTGGAAGGCAATGTCCGGCTGACCGACGAGGAAATCCTCACCGACCTCGGTTTGCAGCCGCGAACGACCATCTCCTTCCGCGACATTCAGACCGCACTGAAAGCGATCTGGGCCACCGGACAGTACCGCGACTATACGATCAGCGCTCAGGGAGGCCAGGGCGGCGAGCCGGTCCTGCTGGTTCTCGACGTCGAGGAGCAGGACGTGATGGAGTCCGTGACCATCGAGGGGTTGGAACGGCTCAGCGTAGGCTCCGTGCGCGATACCGCCGACCTGCGCGCAGGAGAGCCGTACTCACCCCAGAAGCTGGCAATCGCGCGCGACTTCATCCGCAACGAACTCGCCGACGACGGCATCCCCTTCGCGCGCATCGACGAGCGGGTGGAAGAGGTTCCAGACAGACCGGGGCATGTGCGGCTGGTGCTGGAGGTGACCGAAGGTCAGCGCGTGACCGTCTCCGAGGTCGAGTTCACGGGGAACGAGTACGTGGGTTCCGACGACCTGAGGAGCGCCCTCGACACGCAGGCGGAAGGGTTCTGGTGGTTCCGACAGGGCTCGTATCAGGAGAGCACACTTCAGGAAGATCTGCTCGCCCGGCTGCCCGAGCTGTACCGATCCCGGGGCTATCTCGACTTCGCGGTTCTGCGGGACACTCTCGTCATCGATCCGGAGACGGGGAAGTCCAGACTCGAGGTGGCCGTGGAGGAAGGACCACGCTACCGCGTGCGGGAGTTCGTGGTCGAGGGCAACAGCCGTTTCCCCACCGACCGCATCGAATCGTTCTACCAGCCCGGACAGGGAGGACTGCTCAGCAGCTTCGGGATCGGGGGGGATGACGAAGAAAACCCCGTGTTCGACGCCGCCGCCTTCGAGGCAGCCGCGGCGGCCGTGGGCTCGCTCTACCGGAACAACGGTTACCTGGGTGCCAACGTCGAGCCCTTCTACGAGTTCGACGAGGCCAACGGGGATGGCGATCCCACCCTGCTGGTGGGGTGGCGCATCCAGGAGGGGGCTCCCGCCTACATCCGCAGGGTGGAGGTGGAGGGCAACGACTACACCCACGAGCGGGTCGTACGCGACCAGCTCTTTACCCTGCCGGGAGACATCTATTCCGAGGAACGACTCATCCAGAGTTACCAGGCGGTTTCCGCGCTTGGATACTTCGAGACGCCGATGGAACTGCCCGCCCTCCAGCCCGCCGACGACGGAAGCGGAAACGTCGACATCGTCTTTCGGGTCAAGGAGCGGCAGACGGGGACCGTAAACTTCGGCACTTCGATGGGGGGTGGCTACGGGCTCTCCGGGTTCCTCGGATACGACCAGCCCAATCTCTTCGGACAGGCGAAGTCGGGCAGCGTGCGATGGGACTTTGGCCGCTACATCAACAACTTCACGTTGTCCTATACCGATCCGTCACTGCGACGGACTCGCGTGAGCGGCACCGTGTCGCTGTTCTACACCCGCGACCGCTTTTTCCAGTTCACCACCGGCCAGCGCCGGCTGCAGGGAGGCTCTCTCCGGTTTGGGCTTCCTCTCCCGGGTTCTCTGCGCACCCGGCTGTTCCTCGGATACTCGCTCTCCCGCACGAAATACGACCTGTTTTCCAGGTCCGAAGACTCGTCGCTGTTCGGCAGGGACCCCGGGACGCTGAGTACACTCTCCGCGAGCATTCAGAGGCAGACGCTGAACCACAATCTGTTCCCGACCCAGGGATCCCGGCAGGTCATCTCCGCCGAGATGAACGGAGGTCTTCTGGGCGGGGACGGCGACTTCATGAAGTACGCGGTCGAGGGCACCTGGTTCGCGCCCGTGGGCCAGATCGGCAGCGGAGCGCGGCCGATCCGGACCGCTCTGGGGCTCAGTGTCCGGGCCGGGATGATCTTCGGGAATGCCGAGCGCTTCCCCTTTGATCGGTATTGGATGGGGGGCGTCCAGTTCGGCGAGAGACTCCGCGGCTACGACGAGACCACGATCACCCCGGCCGGTTTCTTCGACCGGGGATCGGGCTCGGGGGTCCTGGAAGGCGAGAGACTGGGCAATGCGTTCATCTCGCTCACCGTTGAATACGACATTCGCTTCAACGACAACATGTCGCTCGGATTCTTCTACGATGCGGGTAACGTCTGGGTGAGCGCGGCCGAATTCACACCCACCCGTCTGTTCCGGGGAGCGGGCGTCGGCGCCCAGCTGGTCACACCGTTCGGACCTCTGGGCCTCGACTACGCGTACGGTTTCGACAAGACCAACCCCGGATGGCAGCTGCATTTCCGGATGGGACCGGGGTTCTGACGAAGGAGCGGTGGATTCGGCCCGCCGGGCCTTGCGAGCTACATGCCCTTGGAGACATCCTTTCAGGCTGTGGTTTCACAGGATGATCGAGAAGATTCTACCATGACTGGCGCTTTCGGAGAGGCTCGGAGTATGCGTGCATTAACGGTTGTTCTCACGGCTGGCTTTTTCTTCTTGCTGGCCGACAACGCGGCGGCCCAGGGGCCGCTGCGACTCGGGTACATCGATTCGCAGGCGATCCTGGCCCAGGCTCCGGGGGCCACGGAGGCGCAGGATCAGTTTGAGCGCGACATGGCCCGGTTCCGGGCGGAACTGGACCAGATGGGCGAAGAGGTGCAGGGCATGATTCAGCAGTTCGAACAGCAGCAGTTGACGCTTTCGCCTCAGGCCAGGGAGACACAGGGCCAGAGCATCCAGGCGAGGCAGGACGAGTACAATCAGCGCGCCCAGGAGCTGGAGGGAGAAGCTGGCAGACGGCAGGCGGAACTGGTGCAGCCCATCATGGACCAGGTGACCGAAGCCATCGATCAGATCCGGACGGAAGGTGGCTACGCGATCATCTTCGACCTCTCCGCCCAGGCGATCGTTTCCGCGGACCCCAACCTCAACCTGACCCAGGCCGTGATCGACCGGCTCGTCCAGATGGCGACGACCGGCAACCCGTGAGCACACCGTCTTCTTCGACATCCGAGCAAGCCACCGGAGCAGCCGGGGCCGGGGTCTTGGATCTTGCGGAAGCCTCCGCCACCACCGGCGCGCGTTTGGAAGGGCAGCCCGGATGGACCTTCCGGCGAATCGTACCTCTCGCCCAGGCCGGTCCGGGGAAGCTGGGCTTCCTTGCCGACCGCGGGTACCTGAAGCATCTGGACGGGTCCGTGGCCGAAGCGGTGCTGGTTTCCGCGGACCTGTCCTCGTCGGTTCGCGACCGGGTCCCAAACCTGCTGGTCACGGAGCAGCCGCGCGTCGCGCTGGCGCAACTCCTCGAACGACTACATCCTTCCCCGCCTGCCCGTCCCGGAATCCACGCCTCGGCCGTACTGGGCCGAGGCGTCAGGCTCGGCAAGGACGTGTGTATCGCCGCCTACGCCGTGCTGGAGGAAGATGTCGAGGTCGGGGACCGGGTGCGCATCGGGGCGCATGTGTCGGTGGGCCGCGGCTCACGGATCGCTGATGATTCCGAGTTGTACCCTCAGGTCGTGCTGTATCCCGGAACCCGGCTGGGACAGCGCGTGGTTCTCCACGCGGGCACGGTGGTAGGGTCCGACGGGTTCGGGTATGTGGGCCCACCGGGGGCGCCACCAGAAGGTCCGTCAGGTGGGCGGCTGCCGCATCGGCGACGATGTCGAAATGGGCGCCCATTGCTGCATCGACCGGGGGTCCATCGGGGACACCGTGATAGGCGACGGCACCAAGACCGACAACCTGGTGCATGTGGCTCACAACGTGACCGTGGGCGAACACTCCCTTCTCATTGCCCAAGTGGGGATCTCCGGATCCACGACCCTCGGAAGGGGCGTGGTGATGGCGGGCCAGTCCGGTGCGACCGGGCATCTCGAGATCGGAGACGGGGCGCGGGTCGCTGTACAGACCGGTGTCCTCCGCGACGTACCTGCCGGGACGAGCGTGGTAGGCTTCCCCGGACGTCCGCGCGCCGAATTCTGGAAGTCGATGGCGGCGATGCGCCAGCTGCCCGCGTTGAAGGCCCGGGTGAAGCGACTGGAAGACCGGCTGGCCGCGCTGGAGAACAACCCGGAAACCGTAGCCCCGGAGCGTGCGACTTCATGACCCGCGCTCGTCAGCGGACGATTGGCCGCAAGGTGAGCCTCGACGGCATCGGGATTCATCTGGGGGAGCCGGCCAGCGTGTCCTTCCATCCGGCGAAAGCCGATTCCGGAGTACTCTTTCGGCGCGTCGACCTGCCGGGGAAACCCCGAGATTCCCGCGACTCTCGACCATGTGGTGGGAACCGAGCTGGGCATCAGCATCGGTCGAGGGCAGGCCCGGATCCTCACCGTCGAACATCTCATGGCCGCGCTGGGCGCGAGCGAGATCACCAATGTGCGGGTGGATCTGTCCGGACCTGAGGTTCCCATCCGGGACGGAAGTTTCCTGGACTTCCTGAATGTCATCGATGAGGCGGGAGTGGTCGAGCAAGACGCGCCCGCGCACGTGGTTCAGCTGGATGAGCCGGTCGTGTTGCGCGCGGCCGGGGACGAATCTTACATCGTCGCCCCCGATCCCGAGCTGCGCATCACCGCGACCATCGACTTCGAGCACCCGGCAATCGGGCGCCAGACCGGTTCATTCGGGGTCTCCGGGCCCGACTTTCGAGCCGACATCGCGCCCGCGCGGACCTTTGGCTTTCTGTCCGAAGCAGAGCAGTTGCGGGCCCGAGGCCTGGCCCTGGGCGCTTCTCTCGAGAACACCGTCGTCCTGGACGACAGGGGCGTAGCGAATAACGGGCTCCGGTTCCCCGACGAGTTCCTGCGCCACAAGGTGGGAGACGTGCTCGGGGACCTGACGTTGCTGGGGGCCCGGTTGCGCGGGCATGTGGTGGCGGAGAGGCCGAGCCATCGGGGCAACATCGAACTTGGCCGCCTGCTCAAGAAGCTGTCGGGCGCGGAATCGGCCTCGCCCGAGTTCGATATCGACCGAATCCAGAGCTATCTCCCGCACCGCTATCCCATGCTCCTGGTGGACAGGATCGTGAGTACGGAGGGCCGCAGAATCGTCGGCATCAAAAACGTTTCCATCAACGAGCCGTACTTTCAAGGACACTTCCCCGAGCGTCCGATCATGCCGGGCGTGCTTATCGTCGAGGCGATGGCCCAGATCGGTGGTTTGCTGCTGATCGACTCCGTCGGCAATCCCCGGGACAAGAAGGTGTACCTGATGTCGATCAACAAGGCGAGGTTTCGGCGCCCGGTGCGGCCTGGCGATCAGCTCGTGTGCAAAGTCGAACTCCTGCGGTTCCGGCGCGGTATTTGCCGCATGAAGGGCGAGGCGTTTGTGGATGGAAACCTGGTCGCGGAAGCCGAATTCATGGCGAAGGTTACGGGCTGATGACTGACTCGCTGCTGGACGCCTCCGGGGCCGTGCAAGGCGGTGTCCACCCCACGGCCATTGTTGACGACGGGGCGGTGCTGGGGGCGGATGTGGTTGTCGGACCCTATTCCGTCATCGGACCTGACGTGCGCGTCGGCGCGGGAACCCACATCGGCCCGCACGTTCTCATCGAGCGCGATACCTCCGTCGGCGAAAGCTGCAGGATCTTCAAGGGTGCCGTGCTCGGCACGGATCCCCAGGACCTCAAGTACCAGGGTGAATACTCCGAACTGGTCGTGGGGGACCGCACTGTCGTGCGGGAGTCGCGACCTTGAACCGGGGCACAGCGGCTTCCAGGCGCACCGTGGTGGGCAGCGATTGTCTGTTGATGGCCTACACCCATGTGGCGCACGACTGCCGCATCGGCAACCATGTGGTTCTCTCCAACGCCGTCAACATGGCCGGCCACGTTACGATCGAGGACTGGGCAATCATCGGTGGCATCGTTCCCATTCACCAGTTCGTCTGTATCGGTGCACACGCATTCGTGGGGGGAGGATCGCGCGTTTCGCAGGATGTGCCACCGTACTGCCGCGCGGCGGGAGTTCCTCCGCGACTCTACGGGCTGAACTCCGTCGGCCTGGAGCGGCGCGGGTTTCCGGCCGAGTCCCGCAAATACCTCAAGCGGGCGTACCGGATCCTCTTCCAGTCCGGACTCAACGTGTCTCAGGGCATCGACCGGGTCGAATCGGAGGTCCGGCAGGTTCCGGAGGTTCGCCACTTCCTCGACTTCATCCGCAACAGCGAACGCGGCATCATCCTCGGATGAGTCCACTCCGCACCCCGATTCGCATGGGGGTGGCCGGTGTCGGAAGCCTCGGCTTCCATCACGCGAGGATCCTGCGCGACCTGCCTGACGTCGAGATGGCGGGTTTCTTCGATGTGGACGCACCCCGCGCCGACTTCGTGTCGCGGGAGCTCGGGCTCCGGCCGACGGAGAGCCTGCAGGAGCTCGTCGCCATGGTCGATGCGCTGGTTGTGGCGGTGCCGACCTCCTGCCACGAAGAAGTTGCGCTTGCCGCAGTCGAGCGTGGCGTTCACGTCCTCATCGAAAAGCCGCTTGCGCCGACACTGGAGGCCGCGGATCGCATTCTCGCGGCGGCGCAGGAAGCCGGGGCCGTGGTGCAGACCGGGCACGTGGAGCGGTTCAACGGCGCTCTCCGGGCCGCGGCCCCGTACATTGGCGCTCCTCTCTTCATCGAGTCACATCGGCTGGCGCCGTTTGGTCGGCGGGGTACGGACGTGGCGGTTGTGCTCGACCTGATGATTCATGACGTGGATCTGGTGTGCATGCTCGTAAAGGCGCCGGTGGCCGAGATCGCCGCCGCGGGGATTCCGGTGCTGACCCCTTCCGTCGACATTGCCAACGCGCGCCTCACTTTCAAGAACGGTGCCGTCGCCAACCTGACCGCCAGCCGCGTGTCGGGTGAAGGGCAACGCATGCTGCGCGTCTTCCAGCGTTCAGGATATCTGAGGATCGACCTGGCGAGGGGACGGGGTGAGTTCTTGCGTCTGCGGCATGATCTGCCTGCCTTGCTTGGGGAGGCTGCACAGGCCAGGGTGAAGGGGAGGGGAACAGCGCGGAGCTCCGCGGCAACCCCGGGACTGGACGACATCGTTGAGCGCATCCCCTTCCAGGGCCTCGCGGGAGAACCGCTTCAGGTCGAGCTGGAGGGTTTCAGGGACGCGGCTCTCGGGCGCCGTGAGCCGATCGTCTCCGGGGGAGAAGGACGGGCAGCTCTGGAGATCACGCTGTGCATCGAGAAGAGGATTCTGGATCATGTCGCTCATTCGCGTACGTCGTAACCGCAAGAAGGACTGGATCGACGCCAAGGGGGGAAAGCCTCCCGCGAAGTTGCTCGCCCTTCTGCTGCTGGTGCTGGTCATCATATGGTACCTGGGCTCCCGGTTCTGATTCATGAAGCGCGACCCGGTGATCCTCCTGCTCGCCGGGGAGCCCTCTGGTGACCTGCACGGTGCCGCGCTTGCCCGCGCACTTCGCGACAAATGGCCGTCGGCCCGGTTGCTGGGGCTGGGGGGCGAGCGCATGGCGGCCGCGGGAGTCGAGTGCATGGCGGGGCTCGAGGAGCTGGCGGTCATGGGCTTTGTCGAGGTGTTTCGGCACCTGGACTTCTTCTGGAGGCTCATGCACCGGGTTCGAGACGCCATGCACCGGCACGCCGTGGACCTGGTCATCCCGATCGACTATCCGGGCTTCAACCTGCGCGTCGCGAGGCATGCGAGGGCGGCCGGAATCCGGGTACTGTACTACATCGCTCCCCAGGTCTGGGCCTGGCGGCCCTCGCGCGCGCGTCGCCTGGCGCGCGACACCGACCACGTCGCGGTGATCCTGCCCTTCGAGGTGAGTTTTCTTCGCAAGGCGGGCGCGCGCGCGACGTTTGTGGGACACCCCCTTCTGGAAGTCGAGCAAAGAGTGCCGGCGCGCACCGACTACTGCCGTGCGCACGGCCTCGATCCGGACCGACCCCTTCTGGCACTCTTTCCGGGATCGCGTCGCCAGGAGCTCGACCGCCATCTGGGGCTGTTCGAAGCCACCGCCCGGCGGCTCGAGGAGGCCCGTCCCGGGCTGCAAACCGTGGTCGCGCGCGCGCCGGGCCTGCCGCCGCTCACTACTGAGAGCGTCGCGCTCTCCTGCCGCTCAACGACGGGAGGAGCCTGCTGCATCATGCCCGCGCCGCAGTGGTGAAGTCGGGGTACATCTTTACAGTCCTTCGTCTCGAGTCTTGTTACTTTTTCACCGCGTCGCGTCGCCCGGGTTAGTGCTCTATCTGCGACCGTACTAACCCCGCGGGTCAGCGACCTCTCACCTTACGTCCTCTCTGCCTCTTAGTCCTGCTGGTCCGCGTGGACCACATCGCCATGGCCAACCTCATCGCCGGCAGGCGGGTGGTGCCCGAACTCATCCAGCATGATGCGACGCCCGCGAGGCTTGAGCGCGAGCTGCTCCCGCTTCTGGACGATACGCACGAGCGGTGCGCCACTGTACCGCGGTGTCCGGGTGCGAGGTTGTCGCGCGCGCAGCATCGGATCGCGCGGGGGCGGCCGACGCGATCGTGCCGTGAGCGCGGAGTCTCTGCTGTTCCCCTCGCTGGCGAGGGCGGCGGTGTGACTCCGCACGGCGTGTGAATGCGGGCTTCGATCCGTATGGGATGGTCGGCCACCCATCGCTGCCGTGGCCGGGCTGGCTCTCGCGCCGCTGGAAACGGCCTTTGCGGCGGCAGTCGCGCTGCGCAACCGGCGCTATGATTCGGGGCGGGGCCGGATCCAGTCGGCCGGCGTGCCGTTGTGTCGGTCGGCAACCTGGCGGTGGGAGGCACCGGCAAGACCCCCTTCGCAGCGTGGCTGGCGGCATGGCTCACGCGACGGGGTGTTGCGCCCGGTATCGTGACCAACGGCTACGCCCGCGACGAGGTATCGCTGCACCGGCGCTGGAATCCCGGCGTGCCGGTCGCGGCCGACCGCCGCCGGGCGCGCGCGGCTGCGGCGGTCGTGGGGCAGGGTGCTGAGGTGGTGATTCTGGATGATGGCTTCCAGCACCGAACATTGGCGCGCGACCTCGACCTGGTGCTTGTGTGTGGCTATATGAAGATTTTTTTTGATTTCTTAATATGTAGTAAAGTGTTTTTTGTCGCGGAACATCCACCCGTTACGGCTCCTCCCCCGAGGTCCATACCGGGAGCCTGAGCGAGCCTTGCGGCGCGCGCATGCCGTGGTCGTGACTCGCCGAGGTGCTAGTTTTGACGAAGCGCGTCGTCGGGGGGGGTCGCTCGCAGCGACGCATGGTATTCCCTGCGTGCTGGTACGACTGACACCCTCTGGGTGGAGGGATCTGGCAGGGGCTTCCGTGCCCGCTCCCTCAGGTGCCGTGCTGGCCTTGTCGGGAATCGCCAACCCCCGGCAGTTTCACGGCTTGCTCGAGCGTGAGCACCCCGGGATGGAGATGGAGCCGATGGTCTTTGCGGACCACCACGAGTTATCGCCGCTGACGTTTACCCTGCCATCCGCGGGCCGCGCTCGCGAAAAACACCGTTGTTCACCGCGGGCCAAGGATCGGGTAAGCTCGGGCGACTCTTCGATTTTCGGGGTGGACACTCGCGTTCTCCATCTCGAGGTCGAGGTCTATGCGGGGTCGGATGCTGGAGTGCGCCCTTCCTGGCGGACCTGCGGCGGCTTCGACGAGAGAGGCGGGCGACAGGCCGCCCGAGCGCCGTCCCATGGCCGGGCGCATCACAGCCCGCGAACGCGGCTCCGAACCGGAGATACCGTCGCATCATGTCCGTGGCGGGCAGGCCCCACGCTCGCTGGCCGGAGGCAAGACGCCGTGAAGCTGGAACTGCGTGTCGGCCATCCTTCGTGCCTCCCTTCGGGACGGACTACTCGCAGCGCCGGCACCCCCTCTCGCTCTCCGCTCTCGCCTTCTTCCGGGGCGACCCCGCCCTCGCGGTCAGCTACGATGCCGCGGCCGGTCGTGGCGTGGGGGGCGCTTCTACCGTGCCCCTCGCGCTGTCCAATTGCGGTTGGAAGGCTGTGCTGCCCCTACGCGTCGGGGTGCGGGCGCGGCTGAGCCGCCTGGTCGAAGAGGGTGGCTTCTTCGTGACCACCGGGCAGCAGCCCGGTCTCTTCACCGGTCCCCTGTACAGTGTATACAAGGCCTCACTCGCCGGTGCGTCCTGTCGGGATACCTGAAACGCCGCTGGGGAGCCCGGGTTTCCCCTCTTCTGGTGGCCGTCCGGAAGACCATGACTGGAAGGAGGTGGACCACACCCATACCGTGAGCGTGGCCAACCAGCTGCGTCGTCTCGAGCTAGGCCGGCACTCCGAGCACGGCAGCCGGCCCATCCACCGCGTGGCCATGGGTGGGGCCATCGTACCCGTGCTGGAAGAGTTTCTCTCCCTGTTTCCCGACAACGACTTCAAGGCGGGCTGCGCGCGCCAGCTGCGCTCAGCGTACACGCCCGAGAAATCCATGGGTGAAGCCTTCGCCGAGGTGCTTGCCGAGTGGTTGGGCCCCTTGGGAATGGCGTCGTGCACGCCTCCTCGCTCCCGCTCAAGCACGCATCGCGATCTGTGCTTGCCTCCGCGCTGGAAGGAGCGGTCGAGCAGGAGTCGCTGCTGGGCAGAGCTGTCGAGCGGCTGCGGAGCGCCGGCTACCCCGTGCAGGTTCCCATCCTGGCCGACGGGGTCAACCTCTTCCTCGAGGGGGCGCGGGTCGTGAGCGCATCTATCGCAGCGGACGTGGCTTCCGTCTCCGGACTCGAACGAGCAGCTGACCCGACGCCAGATCCTCGACCGGGCCGATGCCGACGCGCGGGTGGGCTGAGAGTGCCCAATGTCCTTCTGCTCCCTATCGTTTGAGCAACGGGGCGTTCCCCGTGGTGTCCTACGTCGCGGGACCGGGAGAAATCGCGTACTTCGCCCAGCTCGCAGAATTGTTCGAGGCATGCGGGGCGCGGATGCCCGTCGTCCATCCCCGGTTTGCAGTTACGATCATCGAACCCAAGATCCGCAAGGTGCTCGACAAGCTGGGGCTGTCTCTACAGGATTTCGCCCGCCCCTACGGCGAACTCGCGGGAGAAGTCGTGCGCGAGGACGTTCCCGAGACGGTGCGGCGGCACCTTGAGGATGACTTGCGCGTGGGTTAATAGCAGTGGAGTGATCGGCGAGCCGCGCCGTGGCCACCCTGGATCCCACACTCACAGGCCCCGCGAAGCACGTTCTCCACTGTTGCCTTTCTACCCGCGCTTGAAACAATGCGCAAGAATTCATCCAACATCCTCAGAAAGAAGCTACGACGCTGCAACAGCTTGAAAAGGCTCAGTTGCACCTGTATCCCCGGGGCGGTCCGCAAGAGCGCTTGTTCAACGCCTACTACTACTGGTGCGCTACGGAAGCGGGTTTCTGGACACGCTCCACGATCGTTTCTCCGTCCGGCTGGCCGGCGACGGGCTCCGTGGCGCCGACATCGCCAGCGTCGGGTCGCTTCAGCGCTGAACGCCGGAGCGTTGTCAGGCAGGCATCCTCAGACCTAGTTTCGCATCATGTGGCTCTGGCTCTTCCTCATCGTCCTGCTGATTCCGATCCTGTCCATCGTGCTGGATTCCCAGGTCGGCAAGGCTCTCGCGACCCGGCTCGAGCGCCGTGGTCTCGGCGAAGGGGACCGGGTGGCCCACGAGCGCATCGCCTTTCTGGAGAGCGAGACCGAGCGGCTCAGTTCGGAAGTCGACCGGTTGTCCGAGGAAAGCAGGTTCATCCACCAGCTTCTCGCCGGTCGCTCTCAGGACAAGAATCTTCCCCCCGGGTGACTACGAGCGCTGAGTCGGGAGACCCAGCCGCGAGAGACGGGCGCCGCGCCGCGGCTCTGGTGGCGGCGGGAATTCTGGCGAGCCGGGTCAGCGGGCTCGTGCGCGAGGTGCTGTTCGCGTTCTTCTTCGGCACCACCGTGTTCGCGGAGGCGTGGAGGGCGGCGCTGCGCATCCCCAACGTGCTGCAGAATCTGCTGGGAGAGGGCACCCTCAGCGCGTCCTTCATTCCCGTATACGCCGAGCTGCTCGAGCGGGGCGAACTGGAACGGGCGGGACGTCTTGCCGGGGCGGCGTTCGGCATTCTGACCGCGGTCGCGGGGCTGCTCGCCCTCCTCGGCGCGACTCTGGCCCCGGTGATTGTGGCGGGAGTCGCACCCGTATACTCATGTCAGGTTCGAGCCTGACCTGTTTGGCGCTGGTGCGCGCATTACTCGTCCGTTGCGGGCGGGGCTGTCCTCTCCGCGCTGTCACGTCGGCGCATCTGACAGCCACACTTCGCCGTTTTGTGTTCTACGTCCGCCTCCCGTTCTCTCTGTACGCGGCCATGATCACCACCCTGGTCGCGCTGGGCTGGATCTGGGCCTCCGAAGCGGACGATCTCATCGTGGCCCTGGGATGGGGCGCCTTTGCCGGAGGTGTGCTGCAGCTGGGGATCCAGCTCCCCTTCCTGGCGGGTCGGCTACGATACTTTCGCCCATCGCTGGATCTGGGAGTGCCCGGGATCCGGGAAGCGATCCGCAACTTCGTTCCGGTCGTGTCGGCTCGCGGGATCGTGAACCTGAGCGCGCTGGTGGAACTTCAGCTGGCCAGCTTTCTCGCCGCCGGAGCCGTGGCGATCCTCGGTTACGCGCAGGTGCTCTACATCCTGCCGATCTCGCTCTTCGGACTTTCGGTCGCGGCCGCCGAGTTGCCGGAGCTCTCGCGGCAGCGCCAGCGGGCCAAGGAAGTTCTGGCCGGCCAGGTATCGCAGGCGCTGGAACGGGTGGCCTACTTCGTGATCCCCTCCGCGCTCTCACTACCCCCCCCCACCCCCCCACAACAACACCCCCCCACCCACCACACAAACCAACAAACCCACAAAAAACCACAACCACCAAAAACAACACCCCCCCCCCAACCCAACCCCACCAACAACACAAAAACTACTCTTCGGGGACGTCATCGTCGCCGTGATCTACGAGAGGGGCGAGTTCGGCCCGGCCGACACCGTGGCTACGTACATCATGCTCGCTGCCTATAGCGCGGGGCTGTTCGCCTCGGCCAACTCGCGCATGCTGTCGTCGGCGTTCTACGCGATGCGCAACACGCGCACACCGGCCCGAGTGGCGGGACTTCGGGTGGCTGTCTCGCTGCTCGTGGGTGGCGCGCTCATGTTTCCCTTCGATCGCTTCGAGGCGGGGCATCTGCGGCTGGGTGGGGCGGGTCTCGCCCTGGGGACGTCGTTGGCGGCGTGGCTTGAGTACGGACTGCTGCGCAGAAGACTTGGCCGGACGCTGGGGCCGCACGGCGTGGCCAGTGGGCGCATGGTCCGCCTGCTGGGCGCGGGCCTGCTCGCCGCCGCCGCGGGGCAGGGGGGAACGCTGCTGGTCGCGGGATCGCATCCGATCGTGGCCGCCGCGGGCACGTTGCTCCCGTTCGGCATCGTCTATCTTGCCGCCACTCGCTGGTTCGGCCTGCGGATCGGGGGAGGCGGATGACGATCACCGCCAGGGAACTCGATCATCTTCCGGTCCTTCCGGGCGTGTACCTGCTGAAGGGCCCCGATGGCGAGGTGCTGTACATCGGCAAGGCCAACTCTTTGCGCGCGCGGGTGCGCAGCTATTTCCGCCCGGATCGCTCCCAGTCGCTGCGTACGCTCGAGCTGGCGCGCCGCACCGCAGAGGTGGAGACCATCGTGGCCGGTTCCGGCGCCGAGGCGCTGATCCTGGAGGCCAACCTCATCAAGGAATACCGCCCCCGCTTCAACATTCAGCTGCGCGACGACAAGAGCTATCCCCACATCAAGGTGACCGTGGCCGAGCCCTTTCCCCGCGTGTTCGTGACACGGCGGCTGCGCCAGGACGGATCGCGCTATTTCGGGCCCTATACTTCAGTAGGATTGATGCGGCAGTCGCTGGAGGTGGTGAAGCGGCTGTATACGGTACGCTCCTGCCGCTATCAGCTTCCCCGCGAAGCTCCGGCGCGTCCCTGCCTCGATCACCACATCGGACGTTGCCAGGCGCCCTGCGTGGGACGCCAGAGCCAGGAGTCCTACCGGGAGATGATCGAGGAGATTCTGCGAGTGCTGGGGGGAGAGACCCGGGCTGTGCGCGGGCGGGTGGAGGCTCGCATGGAAGCAGCCGCGGATGCGCTCGACTTCGAAGCCGCGGCGCGGCACCGCAACGTGCTGAAGGGGCTGGATGCGCTCAGCCGCCGCCAGCGTGCCTACCGCCTGGGGGGCGGGGACCAGGATGTGATCGGCCTGGCGCGGGACGGCGAGCTTGGCACCGCCGTGGTGCTTCGCATCCGGGAAGGCATTCTGCTGGGCCGCGAAACGCGGCGTCTCTCGAGCCTGTCCGACGAGGACGATGGAACGCTCCTGGGAGCGGTGGCCTCACGCTTCTATCTGGGATCGGGGCGGGAGGGGCACGGGGAACTGCCGCGGGAAGTGCTTGTCCCCGCCGAATTCGAGGATCGCACGGTGCTCGAGAGCATCCTCATCCTCAGTCGGGCTGCCGGGCGCAAGGTCGTCTTTCACCGGCCGCAGCGGGGCGACAAGGTGAGGTTGATCGAACTGGCCAACGCCAACGCACGCCATACCATGGAAGACCGCGTCACCGCCCTAGAATACGCGGCCGACCGTGCCGACGAAGTGCTGTACGACCTGCAGAACCGACTCGGGCTCAAGGTGGTTCCCCGCCTGATGGCTTGCCTGGACGTTTCCCACACGCAGGGAACGGACGTTGTCGCCAGCGTGGTGGTCTTCGAGAACGGAGAGCCGCGCAAGGCCGGATATCGCCGCAGGCGCATCCGTGGCGACTGGGGCAACGACGACTTCCGCTCCATGGAGGAAGCCGTCTCCCGCTACGCGAAGCGGCTGGTCCGGGAGGAGGCGCCGGTTCCCGACCTCGTGCTGGTGGATGCTGTTTTCAAGGGCGCCGCTCCTCCGTAGCTAGTCAGGCGCTGCGGCTTGGCGTGCTGCATACAGATTCCGTTCGGGTGCGGCTCGCATTATGCGCCAACGCGCGAGGATGCGCTGTGTTCCTGCTTGGTCGGGCCGGCCCCGTGCGGATGGGGCGCGCGGACCGTTCACTACATCTTCTGCAGCGCATGCGCGACGAGGCCCATCGTTTCGCGATATCCTACAATCGCCAGCTCAGACGACGCCGCACCATCCAGAGTGAACTCGAGCAGATTCCCGGGATCGGCAAGAGTCGGCGCCAGACGCTCCTGGCCCGTTTCGGGTCGGTGCGCGGCGTGCGGTCGACGAGCCAGGCCGAGATCGCCCGGCTGCCCGGCTTCAGCGACGTGCTGGCGACGCGGGTCCTGACGTATCTCGGCAAATAGACAAAGAGAACCAGATGAGCGTTCGAACTCGCTTTGCCCCCAGTCCCACAGGCCAGTTGCATGCGGGAAACGCGCGTGTCACGGTATTCAACTGGTTGTTTGCGCGCCATCACCGGGGAACCTTCATCCTTCGTGTCGAAGACACCGATGTCGAGCGCACCGTCGAGAATTCGCTCGAGTCGATCCTGGAGGACCTGCGCTGGCTCGGCATGCTGTGGGACGAGGGCCCGGAGGTGGGAGGACCTTTCGGCCCGTACCGGCAGAGCGACAAAGCCGGGCTGCTTACGTCGCGCGAGTCCGCCGGCGACTTTGTCGGGGAAGGCCGGGCGCGAGTACCGTGCATACGGCGACCTGGAAGGCGCGGCGGAAACCGGGTTTCGCTACCCCGCCCCTGCGCAAACGCTCACGGCGGACGAGCCCGCGCGCGAGTGACAGTGGGGCTCGTCCCGTGACGCGATTCCACGTCCCGGCCGACGAAATCGTGGTCCACGACGAGGTCTACGGCGCCGTCACGTTTCCACCCGGTGAATTCGGCGATTTCGTGATCCTGCGCGCAGACGGGCGGCCCACCTGTACACTTCGCTGTCGTCGTGGATGACATCGCGATGCGCATCACGCACGTGATCCGGGGGGTGGGTCATCTTTCCAACACCCCCAAGCAGGCCGCGATGTTCGACGCGCTGGGAGCCCCCCGGCCCGTCTTCGCCCACCTGCCGATGGTGCTGGGCGTGGACCGGCGTAAGCTCTCGAAGCGGGAGGGCGCGGCATCGCTGGCCCGGCTGCGGGAGGCGGGGTATCCGGCCGCCGCGGTCGTGAACTATCTTTCCCTGCTGGGGTGGTCTTCGCCCGGCGGCGAAGAGATCCTGAGCCCGGCGGAGCTGGTCCGCGAGGTGGGGCTGGACCGCATCGGCACCAGCAACACGGTCTACGACGCCGACAAACTGCAGCGTGGCTGCGGGCCGGCAGCTCGCCGCATGCGCATCGCCGAGACCGCGCAGGTCTCGCCCTTCGTCGATCCGACGCGGGTTCCCACGGACCCGTATGACCTGTCGCAAGCCGTTGACGTCATCCGCGGACGCATGACCACATTTGCGGAAATCAACGACCATCTTTCGCTCTTCCTGGTGGCTTCCGGACCGGAGCTGGAAGGCGTCCAGGCACAGTTGCGGGACGACGCGGGGGCGAGGGCTGTGCTGCGAGCGGTGACCGACGGCTCGCACCTGCCCTGCGTGTGGAAGCTCCCGGCAAAAATGGGCGGTCTATCCGGGTCGCGGGAAAGGAGGCCGGCGCGCGGGGTCCGGCGCTCTTCCACCCCGTGCGCAAGGCAGTGACCGGCAGGGAGAGCGGCCCCGACCTGGGGCAGGTCCTGCACGTCTACGGTCGCGAGGAAACACTGACGCGCCTGTCCGCGGCGATGTCCCGGCCGGGGCAGGTCTGACCGCATTCCCCACGCCCGATCCGAACAGCCCTTGGCGGCGGCGCTCGCGGAGGATGCGCAATGCGGCGACGGGACGGCTGGGTTCCCCCCTGCACGGTTTGAACCCACCACGAACCCCCCCCCGACCCCCCGAACACTTGACGACCGACCCCGCACCCGATAGTCCCCCCCTTCATGTGATACTGTCAAGTTCTACGGGTACGTTTATGGGAAGTTACTCCGAAATCGCGTGCTGCGCTGCGCCCCGCACGCATCAACAGAAGAGGAGGCAGCCGGATGAAGTTCCAGCTTGGAGTTGTGCTGGCGGCGAGTGTGGTGATCGTGGCGGGCGGTTGCGCCGCCGGTTCAGGAAGTGGTGGCGAGGCGAGCGATACGCCCATGCCGCCTGGCGTGGAGCAGGGGGTGCCGCCGCGTGACAACATGTCTCCCAGCGCGCCACGGCCGCTCTGACCTGTCGGCAGGCGATGTCAGAACGCCGACGCCGGAGTGGACGACCCCGCGTTCCCACCATAACGGTTTACTGCGCTCGCGGCGTCGCTCGAGGGCATCGGTCCCCAACCGGCATCCACATTCCTAACTAGACCGTCAGTCCGGAAGAGTCCCTACGCGGCCTGAACGACCTGGTGGGCGCCGACTCGATGTGGACGAAGGCCGAGGATCTCTACCCGCTCTACTTCATGGATCTGAACCCCATGCGCGAGCAGCATTGGGTGAACTCCTTCAACCTGGGCGTGAACCAGATTCAGGTGGATAACATGGAAAGTGCGATCCCGCTGCTGGAGGCGGCGCACACCATCTATCGGGGACGACCCGAGGCGATCCTCAATCTCGGTTCCATCCACGCACACTGCTCGGTAAAGCGACGCGAGGCCGTCGACTGTATCGCGGACCGCGCTCGCGTCCCTCCTGCGTGGTGTCGCTCTTCGAGCAACAGACCGCCGAGACCCAGATGACCTGGGCTGAAAACGAGGAAATCGCGGCCTTCAACCTGGCCCAGATCCTCGCCGGCGCCGGACGCACGATGAGGCCGAGGCGGCGTATCGAACCTATCTTGAGCGCAACCCCGACAACGTCACCGCTCTGAGCAACCTGGCCGTGGTCCTGATGGAAATGGAGCGCGATGCCGAAGCCGCAGAGATCTATCAGGGACTCCTGGCCCGCACCGACCTGAACGCGCGCGACTATTACGTGACCGGCATCGGTCTCTACAATGCCGACGACTACTCGATGGCGGCGCAGGCCTTCGGGAGGTCGTACGAGCTCATTCCCCAGAGCCGGGATGCGCTTTACAACTACGCGCAGGCCCTCTACCTGGCCGAGGAACTCGACGAACTGTACCCGGTGGCGCTGTCGCTCATGGAGATGGACCCGTATAGCAACAACGTCTACCGGCTGATGGCCCAGGGGCTGATTCATCAGGAGGAAGAGCAGGAGGCGGTGCGTGTTCTGGAGCAGATGGAGGCC